GGCCTCCTGTTGCCTTCCGAAGTCTCCTGGCGCTTCCTGTGGCCTCCTGGGGCCTCCTGTGGCTTCCTGAGGCCTCCTGGAGCTTCCTGGGGCCTCCTGGAGCCTCTTGGGACATCTGGTGGCCTCTTGAGTATTTCTATGGCCTCCTGATGCATCCTGGGACCTCATGTGGTCCCCAGGGGCTTCCTGGAGCCTGTTGGAGCATCCTGTGGCATCCTGAGGAGAACCTGTGCCCACGAGTCTGGCCACCAAAACAAGCAAACCGAACGAGACATCCTCAACATCTGGCCCACATGGGGGGTGAACATGAGCGCCTCGCTCGAGACAACCTCCAAATCTGCTCCGAAAGCGAAGGATGTTGGGACAGAGAACAGGCAAACCGCTTGAGACATCCCCACAAAACGGCCGCGAACGGGACCGTGTCATACCACTCGGCGGCTCCCCTTAGGGGCGTGAAAATGAGCGCCTCGCTCGAGACGTCCTCCAAATCTGCTCCGAAAGCGAACGATTTTGGAACAGAACACAAGCAAACCGCTTGAGACATCCCCACAAAACGGCCGCGAACGGGACCGTGTCATACCCCTCGGCGGCTCCCCTTAGGGGCGTGAAAATGAGCGCCTCGCTCGAGACATCCTCCAAATCTGCTCCGAAAGCGAAGGATGTTGGGACAGAAAACAGGCAAACCGCTTGAGACATCCCCACAAAGCGGCCGCGAACGGGACCGTGTCAGACCCCTCGGCGGCTCCCCTTAGGAGGGGGCGTGAAAATGAGTGCCTCGCTCGAGACAACCTCCAACTCTGCTCCGAAAGCGAAGGATGTTGGGACAGAAATCAGGCAAACCGCTTGAGACATCCCCACAAAGCGGCCGCGAACGGGACCGTGTCATACCCCTCGGCGGCTCCCCTTAGGGGCGTGAAAATGAGCGCCTCGCTCGAGACATCCTCCAAATCTGCTCCGAAAGCGAAGGATGTTGGGACAGAAACAAACAAACCGCTTGAGACATCCCCACAAAACGGCCGCGAACGGGACCGTGTCATACCCCTCGGCGGCTCCCCTTAGGGGCGTGAAAATGAGCGCCTCGCTCGAGACATCCTCCAAATCTGCTCCGAAAGCGAAGGATGTTGGGACAGAAAACAGGCAAACCGCTTGAGACATCCCCACAAAGCGGCCGCGAACGGGACCGTGTCATACCCCTCGGCGGCTCCCCTTAGGGGTGCTGAAACCAGCGCCCAGCCTGAGACATTCTCACGATCTGCTGTGTGTAGAGTAAGACAGACAATGAGAAGGCCTGAGTATGAATAAGCCTGGGTATGAATGAGTCTCAGCATGAGTAAGTCTGAGTATGAGTATGGCTGAGTATGAGTAGGTCTGAGTATGAGTAGGTCTGAGTGTGAGTAAGTTAGAGTATGAGTAAGTCTGTGTATGAGTAAGTCTGTGTATGAGTAAGTTTGGGTATGAGGAGGAGGAGGGGGAGAAGGAGAAGAAGACGAGGAAGAGGAAGAAGGAGTAGGAGGCGTCCAAGTAATAACAATAACCCCATCTTAGGATATGGGGAAAAAGAGCCTCGCTAAATCAACCACGCCCAGAGGGCTGGTGGGACGACGTATGCCCGAACTTGAGGTCTTTGGAGATCTACGGATCGTGGGCTGGCCCCTTCAAGCTCACAAGACGGCCGGAGAGACCTCCAGCACGGCCCGTCAGACAGGCCTTTCGGGCCTTTCTGTGGGCACGTCGAGAACCAGGATTTCTTTTGTGCTCTGGAGCGCAGCAAGGAAGACCGCGCGACAGGCCCTGGGGAGCGCAGGGCACCGCCCCGCGCCGCCCGTGAAACGAGGGCCCAGGGCCTTCAATAACCCTTCAGCATTCAGTAGCCAGCATATGCCGACGCGGATCTCGTATGCATGTGGTTATTGATCGTTGCATGTGCGCAGGTCGGTCGGTGATGCGTGCGCGAATGTGCGTGTGTGGGTAGGTCCGAAGCCATTTTGGCTCAAGCATGTGTGGGGTCAGCATCCCGCGCGCGGCCGCGTCGACCGTTGGTGCTCGTGGCGCGTTCCGCGGGCCGCAGCGCACAGGGCTTGTCTCGGCGCGGAGCCCATCGAATGTGCCGCTTGGGAGACGCTGCTTCGGCAAGTATGACGCGCCGACGAGGCTGCGAGACGCGGTGCCCGTCCGCAGCGGGCCGCCACGCGTCGACTTCCCCATCGACGTTATGGTCGAGAGGGTGTGCCCGAAGAGTGGTGCAGGCGTGGTGCGCATCAAGTGGAAGACCCGCAAGAACATCCTGGTCGAGCGCGAGTGGCTGGTGGAGAGCGGCCTGCCTGGGGAGGTCGTCACGGTCGAGTTCGGCCTCGTGCGGGAGCGCAGGTTCCCCAAGGGAGAGCTGGAGGTCCTGGTGCAGAAAACTGTCAAGCAGCTGCGGCCCAGCGAATACGAGGTGCGCCCAGCGTGCCCGCACTTCGGGTCACGCCACTGCGCCGGCTGCTGTGACTTTCTGCACATGCGGTACGGCCGCCAGCTGGTCGAGAAGCAGCGTTGGGTGCAGAGGGCGGTGGCGGGTGCGAGAGCGCCTCTGGAGGCAGTCCGTCGCATACGGCCGTCCCCGCGCCAGCTGCGCTACGCGCACCGCACGGTGTGGACCTTCTCAGAGGAAGGCGGCGAGGTTAGCTTCGGACCCGCGGGTGCGCTGCGTGACCAGGACGCAGAGCTTGCGCACGACGACCCCGAGCCACCTTCAGGTTGTGTGCTGCCGCAGCGCGCTGTGACGCGCACACTGGAAGCCGTTTGGTCCGCATTCCAGGAGTTGCGCGGGGCGAATCCCGCAGCCTACAGCGTCTACGAGGAGAAGCGTGGCCTCGGGACGTTCAAGGCCGCGGAGGTCCTGTGCGCTCGCGTGCCGCGCCACGAGCTCGGCAGAAAGCCTGGCGGCCGGCGGACAGAGCTGCTGCTGAACCTCGTGCTCGCCCACGACACCGACGTCGAGAGCGTCTTGGAGCCGCTGGCCACTGCGCTGCGTGCCCAGGCGCCCAAGTGCCTGGTCGGGGTGGTCGCCAACGTGTCCCGCGCGAAGCTGGCGGTGATGGGTGGGCGCAGGGAGGTTCAGGAGGGGAAACAACACACAGACACAATTAATCGTCGATCTCCAAGAAAATGTAGGAAAATAGGGGAAGTGGGGGGGGGAAGACAGAAACCCAGAACATCTGGGAAAATATGGGGAATCCTTTGATTTGTGTGTATTCATTTGTGTGTCCCTTGGGCCCCTCGAGAGGTGCTGCTGCACGGCCGGCGCTGCGTGCGGGACGGCTTTGCCCTCCGCGTGGGCGGCGCTCCCCGCCACTTCGCGCTCGAGGTGGGGGCCGGCTCGCGCCTGCTGGCGCATGCCGCGCTGCTGCCGGAGGTGGCCCGGGCCGCGGTGGAGATGAGTGGCGCGGGCGGCACGGACGTGGTGTGGCACTGCTTCTGATGAGCGTGTTTTCCACCACCACCACCATAAGTTGGAGGGGGGGGTCCTCCTCCTCCTCCTCCTCCTCCTCCTCCTCCTCCTCCTCCTCCTCCTCCTCCTCCTCCTTCGCCCCATCCAACTTATGGTGGTGGTGGTGGAAAACGCGCTCATCAGCTTCTGCGGCGGAGGAGAGTTGAGCCTCGCACTCGGCGCCGTGTGCGAGCACGTGGTGTCCATCGGCACGTCGGCGTCGGAAGTGGCCGAGCTGAAGCGCAACCTGGCGGCCAACGAGGTCACCAACGCCACCGCTGTCCTGACGAACCTCAGGAGTCCTTATTCTCTGAAGCAGCTGTCTTTCCACGTGTCCCAGTCGCAGCAGCGGCGGCTCCTGCTGGGAACCAGCGAAGAGCAGGAGAAGGCCCGCGACTACGCTGTGGCCGCCTTCGTTCCGGGCGAGAGCCGACGCAGGCAGATGCAGCGCCTGGCCTCCGGGCCGTTCACGGCGCCTCTGCTGCGCGAGGACGCGCTGGCGTACCAGGAGCTGCAGGTGCTGCTTCCGGCCTTTGTGCGCGACTTCCGCGCCACGACGGAGACCACGCTGCCCGTGCCCGTGCCGGGCGCGGGGGCCGAGGAGGAGCGGGGACGCGAGGTTCCCGCAGAGATGGAGACCCGCCTGAAGCGGCTGTACCGCAACCTGGCGCTGAAGTACCACCCGGACAGGAACCCCGACGATCCGGAGGCCCCGGAGCGCTTCCTGGCCCTCACCCGCGCCTACAAGGCGCTGGTCGGAGACACGGCTGGGCCCGAAGAGGGCGACAAGGACGCCCGCGACCCCTTCCTGGACGCCATGTCGAGCAACGTCAGGCCCAAGTTCAAGCATCGCTGGCGCCAGGAGGGCAAGTACGGCTTCCGCCTGAACAAGGTGCAGGAGGCGGCGATGGCGGAGCACGAGCGGCAGGACGCCAGTTCTAGCGGCCCCGCCGAGGGCGAAGAGGACCCCTGGGACTTCCTGGCGCCAGAGGACGAGGGCAAGGACGAGGACGGCGAGGAGCACGAGGACTTCCAAGTGAAGTTGGAGATCGACACGAACTGGGCGGAGCCGCAGGCCAGCCCCGACGAGGCAGGCCCGCATGGCGTCCGCCTGCTGGCGGGGGAGGAGACGCAGCCCGACGTGACCGAGATGGACTCGAGCACGGCGGACGTCACGCTGAATGGCGACCCCGTCAACATGCCGTCGCTGCCACCCCCAGACGTCATCGTCGTGACTCAGCCCCGCGCCCGCAAGAAGGGGGTTGGCACTCCGAGCCACTTCCGCAACTGGCTCCGGTCGACCGCGGTGAGGACGATTGTCTACGTCAGCACGGACTCGGAGGCCTTCAGGGCGGACCTCGTCGCCCTGAAGGGCCTGGGCTACAAGCTGTCGCAGCTGCAGCCCTTCGACCCGGAGCCGCACCGGCGGGCGCTGCTGCTGGTCGCCAGGCTGGGAGGGCGGAGAAGCCACATCGGTGTCAGCGGGTTCAGAGACGGGGCCCCGAGGCATGGGTCCCCGATGCCACGTTCGCGGTCCTTGCCCTCGGGGACCCGCCCCGCAGGGCTCCCTTCTTGGACCGGCGAAGCTGTGCCTGCGAGCGTCCGCGGACGGTTGCCGCGTCGGAGGCAGGCCCCCTCCACACCTCGCCTCCCTGGCGCACTCTCGGCGCGCTGTGGGGCGGCGGCCGAGGCGCCGCCCGGAGGGGTGCGGGGAGGTGGCCTGGCGTCGGCGGCGAGTGCGCCGACGCGGGCGCCAGGGGCCTGTCACGTGTGTTCGCGTGCTCCTGGAGGGGGCCTGGCCCTCGAGGGGCGGAGGAGTCGGCGTCGCTTCTCTGGCGGACGGCGGCGGAAGCAGAGCGGGGCGGCTGCGCCGGCGAGGGCAGGCCGAGGAGCAGAGGCGGCGCCGAGCACGGCAGCCGCGGCTTCGCCGACCGCCCGAGCCTCGCATGCCCCGCCAGCCTCACCTCCCTCGGCCCCCCTCGACCTCGACTCGATGATCGCCAGGACGTGTGTTAGCCCAGTGTGTGTGTGTGTGTGTGTGTGTGTGTGTATGTGTGTGTGTTTAACCCCTTCAGCCCAACCAGCAGATCATTACACCGCCTGCGTCGTATCGAGTGGCCTCGGTGGACAAGCACACACCTGGGGGCTGACACACACACGGCCCGAGGGTCACACCGATCGGCCCCGACCTCTCTCCCCGACCTCTCTCTCTCAGACGAAGCTCGAGCGGTTTTTCAGTTTGGGGCCACGCTGGAATTGTGGGGGCCCTGCGCCTCTCCTCTCCAGGGAGGGGGGGGGGCGGAGGGCCGCCCCCGCACGGAGCCACCCCTGCAGAGGTGCGGGTGCGCGGAGGCGGGGTCGCGGCACGGCCGCCTCGCCACCTTCGCGCGGCCGCGCCCCCCCCCCCCCCCCCCGGGGCACCGGCGGGGCTCCGTGCGTCGCGCCGCGGTGTCGCACAGCAGATATGTGGCCCCGCCCCCGCAGGAGGAGGGGGAGGGGGGGGGAGGAGGAGGAGGGGGAGGAGGAGGAGGAGGAGGAGGAGCAGGAGGAGGAGGAGGGGAAGGAGGAGGAGGAGGAGGAGCAGGAGGAGGAGGATGGGGAGGAGGGGGAGGAGGAGGAGGAGGAGGAGGAGGAGGAGGAGGAGGAGGAGGAGGAGGAGGAGGAGGAGGAGGCGTCGAGAAAGAAAGGAAGGTCGGCGGAAGCCGGGGGAAGTACAAGCTGCCCTCCCAGGCGATGCTTCTTTTGTGGTTCAGGGCCTCGGGAGCCTCGCCATACAGTCAACCCGCACAGGAAGGATGGGCCACCTTCCCAAGGGTACCCTTGCATCCTTGCCCCTTCGGCGCATCCTCAGCGGCTCTCGCTGGCCAGCGTCGTTCGAAAAACCTGAACATGGCCCTCCAAGGCCCTTGCATCCTAAGTGCGCATCCTTATGATACGGGTCGACTGTACTCGCTGTGAGTTTAAACTCACCTGCCTGCGAGGTCAATGTGGAGCGAGAGGCAGCACACTGGCTAGCACGCTTGCAGACGAGGAGCCTGGAGGGTGAGGAGATCGTGGCGTCTCCTCCCCGTCCCGCTCGCCGGTCCCACCAGCGACTGTTTGGTCGCTCGAGGCAGTGTCGACGGTATGGTCTCGACTACACGCAAGAGTCACCCTTCGCCGGAGTGATTTCTGGTGCGGGCTTACCGGGGCCCCCCCGATCGCTGAGCGCGATGCGATAGTGGCTGCCTTGATCCGCGCACTACAGTCAGGCCATACGAAAGGGGGGGATAAGGAAGGGGGGGGTTACGAAATCTGCTGCATGCAGCTGGTTTCGGCCCCGCCGCCGGGCCCATTCCTCGGATGCATGGGCGCCTCCTGTCGCCAGGAGGCGCTGAGAAATCAGCTGTGCGTGAGCTGATTCTCTACCCTACCCTCTGCTATCCCCCCCCTTTCTCCCCCCCCGATAAAAAGGTTCGGAAGCCGGGCAAGGGCTGCTAAATCCGTGGCTGCTAAAATCGACCTCCGGGAAGTTATCTTCGTCCTTCTGGGAAGACGCCCGTTGACTGTTTCGCGTGCCGCGCCTCATTCCGGGATGTCGTTTTTTCCTTCCGGGAGGGGCGTTTTAGCAGCCACAGTCTTAGCAGCCCTCGCCCAGCTTTCGAAAGGTCATTCTTGCCTGGGCTCGCTCTGGCACCAAGAAAACACACCCAAATTTGAGGGCTTTCACGTGTCGGGCCCTGGGAGGCACTCTTTCGACACTGCTTCGGCACTCTTTCGACACTCTCTCGACACTTTTCTGGGTGCTCGGTCGGGGGGCGGCGAGGGCCCCGGCCCGAGCGCGCTCCCCGCTCCTCGGGGGCCGCGCTCGGGGGGGGGATAGGCTGCAGTCGGGCGTGTCCCTCTACAGGAGGAGCATTCAAAAATGGCAAAGAAAAGCCAGGGGGCGATTCTGATTCCCTTTGTTTTTTTTGGTTTTGGAATATTTTTTTTGACTATTCAGACTCTTCTTATGAGGTATTTTGGGGGTATTTTTTGACATTTGGGGGTCTATTTTTGGACGATCTTTGATATTTCGTCCAGAATCCCCCCTGCAGGAGGACGCGCCCGACCCAAGGAGCGGCTCACGGGGGGCCGCCTCGACCCCCCGAGCGCCCCTTCGTCGTCGTCGTCGTCGTCGTCGTCGTCGTCGTCGTCGTCGTCGTCGTCGTCGTCGTCGTCGTCGTCGTCGCGTCGCCGTCGTGTCGGCGACGTCCGCGTCGGTCACAGAGCGCCCCGGAGGCTCGCGTCGGCCAGGTTGACCTCCGAGGGTGTCCAGCACCGCCGAACGCGCACCCCCGCGGCGAAGCACGCAGCGGCGGACCGGCGACGAGCCTTCTGGGCCTCCCGGAGGATCGCGCCGCGTCCTCGGTGCATCGACCATGCGGCTCGATGTGGAGGCCGCGCTTCCCCACGCCGACGTCGCCGGTGCATCGCCGATGCATCGCCGACGCATCGGCGGTGCACTGGCGGTGCGGCGCGATGCTTCGGCCCCATCTGCGCGGACCCCATCTGGGAGGCCTCTCGTTTCCCCCCCCCCCCCCGAGCTGGTTCCTCCCCCGGCGTTGCCCCTCGACTTGGGTCTGGGGCATGTCCCTCTACAGGGGGAGAGTTCAAAGACAGTCAAAGAATAGCCTGGTAACGAGTTTTCGGCTACTGTTCAACTATTTTTGAGCATTCCTCGACTGTTTTTCATTTTTCGTCCATGGTCCGCCTGTAGGAGGACATGCCCGACCTAACCTTCTCTCTCTCTCTCTCTCCCCTGCGAGCGCCGCCGGCGTCCGGGAGAGCTCACTCTCCCAGGCCGCGCATGTGCGGCCGTCAGGCCTTCCGCGGGCCAGACCTGGCCCGCCCACGCCAGACCCCCTCCTCTCGGCTGGACGTCAGGTGATCCTTTGCCGGAATGACCTCTCTCCGAGTTTCGAAGGCAGCGTCGGGGGGGCGTCGCCCCCGCCGATAGCCCCACCTCCACCCCCGTCGCGGGCAGCCACCGCGCGCCGAGGGCGCTCCGACCCCCGCCGTGGCGCGACGACGCGGCGAGGTGGAACCCCCGTCGGGGGGGGTACCCCCTCCCACGCAGGAAACCCGGAGCTGGCTCGCGGCTCTCGAGGGCCTCGGGGGCGCCAGCCCCGGAAGCGCTCCAGGCCCCACGCCGCCGCATCCCGCTTCGGGGAGGAGGAGGAGGAGGAGGAGGAGGAGGAGGAGGAGGAGGAGGAGGAGGAGGAGGAGGAGGAGGAGGAGGAGGAGGAAGGAGGAGGAGGAGGAGGAGGAGGAGGGAGGGAGGCAGGGAGGGAGGGAGGGAGGGAAAGAGGGAGGGAGGGAGGGAGGGAGGAGGGAGGGATGGGAGGGAGGGGGGAGGGAGGGAGGGAGGAGGGAGGGAGGGAGGGAGAGGGAGGGAGGGAGGAGGAGGAGGAGGAGGAGGAGGGAGGAGGAGGAGGAGGAGGAGGAGGAGGAGGAGGGAGGGAGGGAGGAGGGAGGAGGGAGGGAAGGGGAGGGAGGGAGGGAGGGAGGGAGGAGGAGGAGGAGGAGGAGGAAGAGGAGGAGGACAAGGAGGAGGAGGAGGGAGGAGGAGGAGGAAGGAGGAGGAGGAGGAGGAGGAGGAGGAGGAGGCGAAAGGGGCGGGACTGGCAGGCCGCTCTCGCCGGGAGGGCCACTCCTGCGCTCGGCCGCCCCCCGGACCCCTGGGCGGTGCCTCGGGCCCCTCCCCCGGCGCGCTGCGCGCGCGGGGGAGGGGCTGTGGCCACGGGTGAAGTCGGGCGTGTCCCCCCTACAGGAGGCTTTCGCCGGAGAATGAGAAATTCCCAGATGGCCAGAAAATATGCCAAAAGGAGTCCCCAGACGATTCTTTTTGGACTGTTGAGGTTTCCCCCCCGGAGAGGGACAGGCCCGACTTAGGCCATGGGGGTCTGGCGCCTCGCGGAGAGACCGTCCTCGGAGTCGCCCCTCTCCGGCGGGCGGGTGCTCCGGAGGCGGCCGGGGGGCGGTTGCAGAGCCCGCCTGCGGGGGGGTCGACGTGCCGACGACTACGCCAGGCTCGGGGAGCAGTTTTTGATCCTTCCCGCCGCTCTCCACTCCCCTCGGGAGCGTCGTCATCGTCGTCGTCGTCGTCGTCGTCGTCGTCGTCGTCGTCGTCATCCCCAGCGTGGCGTGGCACCTTCTTCTTTTGGGTATTCCTCCTCCTACTCCTTCTTCTCGTCCTTCGCATCTTCCTCCTCGCAAAGTCGTCGTCGTCTCGTTGTCGTCGTCGTCGTCGTCGTCGTCGTCGTCGTCGTCGTCGTCCCCGGCGCTGCGTTGACACTCCCGCACATTTGTTGCTCTTGCTTCTCTTTGTCCTCCTCGCGCCGTTGTGGTCGTGCTGCCCCAGACCTCCGACGTCGTTTTTTAGACGTGGGCCCCTGGATGCTTAGGCCACTTCCCCGGGACCAGTTTCTTATTCAGAATTTTTCCTGAGGCCCCCTAGGGGCCCCGCAGGGGCCTACTGGTCCAAACAGGACCAAGACACCCGCCGTGCTTGTTCCCACGACTCGGAGGAGGAGGAGGAGGAGGGGGGGAGGAGGAGGAGGAGGAGGTGGAATCTGTAGAATGGAAAATGGGTCGAAGCCCCTCGCATCCTGCGAAGGGAGGGCGGCCCCCCCCTAGCGCCTGCAACCAGCAGAGCGCGTACGAAGGCGCCCCCTGGAAACCCGCCTCCCCCCAACCGCAGGGGAGGCCGTACCCAGGGGCGGCACCAAGGAGGGACCGCCCTCCCCAGAGCCCAAGACTCAGACCAGGAACACCACGAACCTACCCCTCGAAGAGGTCGAACGACTCGTTTTGGAGCGCCTCCAGCTCCTCCGGCCGCAGGGACTGCGGGACGCCGACGAGCGCCTTGCGCTCGGCCCCGCTGGCGACGTGGACCATCTCCTCCGAGTCGGCGAGCCCGTCATCGGCCACCAGCCGCTGTGCAATCCCGCTCTCCTGGATCTTCTCCTTCTTCTCCCTCTTCTTGTATTTCTTGGACTTCGCCAAGCAGTATCCCCTGTCTGCACCAGCAGCGATAGGCGCGTACTGGCCGACGGACTCCTGGCCTTCACCCAGGTACAGGCTAGGCTCCTCGGCCTCCTTTCCAAAACTGTGAAGCGACGGCCCGACGCCAGCCGCCCCCTCGGACCCTGCGGATAGGTCCCATGCGCTACCAGCGCGCAGCGTGCACTTGCCCGTGTACTCCACCTCGTAGCCACCTGACACTGCGCAACCAGCGCTGGCGGTGGCACCTCCCCCAGGCACGGCGCTGCGGGGTGGGCAGACTAGCCAATTCGCCAGGAAGTCCTCCTTCACGGCCTGCCCGGGGACTGCTTCTTCTGGCCGTGGGCGTTCCAGCCCCTGGGGTCGCGTGGGATCGATCGTGACCTCAACCTCGACCTCGGCCCCTTCTCCTTCACCTCCTGGCTTTCCTTGCAGGCCCATGGTGCACTCGGGAACCTCGGCTCGGGCTGGGCCTTCGGCCCCGCCACTGCTGCGACCGCCTGGCCAAGCTCGATGCGATGCAGGTCCCTCCCGATCGAGACCGAGCTCGAGCGCTGGCCCGCCCTCTGCAAGTCCTCGTGCTTCCGCGCCAGCCTCTCCTGCTTGCCACTGCGCTCCTTCGGCGGCTCGTCCCTGGTCGGCCTCTGCCCCACCGAGACCCTCGATGCCAGCCGGCCCCAGACCTGGCGTAGGCCCTCCGACTTCTTCCAGGACTCCTCCTCCTCCTCCTCCTCCTCCTCCTCCTCCTTGCAGTCCTTCTCCGCGTCCTGCAGCACCGCTTCCTCCACGCGCGTCCCGCTCCCGCAGCCGCGCTGGGGCTGAGCCGCACCGCCGCGCACGGCCACCCTGACCTGGATGGCAGCAGCTAGCTCCTCCGCCTCGTGCCTCGTGGCCTGGCGCTCCACGACCGACTGCCACGCGTCGTCCTCCTTCGCGACGCCGCGTGCGCCCTCGTTGATGTTTTCCCTTGTCCGCCTTGGTGCCCTCGACCAGCTCCTCCTTGACGTTCTTCGCCGCTGCTGAGGCCCCCGATGAAGGACTGCTGCGCCCGCTCTCCGTCTCGCTCGCCTGCCTCCATGGCGCCGCGATCCAGTTGCTGGGCGGCGCACCGCAGTCCTCCTCCTTGGCTGGCTTCAGCTTCTGGGCGAAGACCTGTGGGGGATGCACCTGGCCCCAGAATCCCGGCGGCCGCGGCGCCGCCCCGTGCTGCAGGTGGATGCCCTGCAACTCCGCCATGCTCAGCAGCGGTGGTGGTGCCGTCGACATCGAGAACCTCGACGACAAGGTCCACAGATGGCCCGACAAGGTCCACAGCTGGCCCTTGCACGGCCCTCACGTCCAGCTCGAAGCCTCCAAGAACTCAAACAAAGTTCAAGGCGCGGATGAGCGTCGAGGGAACGAGCAGTTTCGTGACGCCATCTCGCTCGGACGGGCTTCGCCCCTTCGGAGTGCGCCCGCCTCTAGCCCGCCTGGGCCGAAAGGGCTGGAGGAGGAGGAGGAGGAGGAGGAGGAGGAGGAGGAGGAGGAGGAGGAAGATGAGGAGGAGGACGAGGAGGAAGTGGAGGAGGAGGAGGTCTATGGGGCCGCCGCGCCGCCAGGCTGGACCTGGTCCGCCCCCTGGCCGGCATGGAGAGCTACGCCCCGCGGCCGGCCGGGGAGCTGCTGCCCGGGGCCCCGGTGCTGCTGCCCGACGGCTCCAGCGGGCCGCCGCCTCTGCTGGGCGGCGGCGGCTACGCGGCGCTCGGGCGGTAGGCGCCCGCCGCCTGCTGCCTCGGGCTGGGCCGTGGTCGCCGCCCGGTGCCTGGGCACGCAGGAGCTCGCCCAAGCGAAGCAAACGACAGCACAGCACCCGCGGCCCTCCACCCAGACCCCCTGGCGCTGTGCGACGAATCGAGACGGGAGGTTTGGGGGCTCTTACCAGGCTTCGGGAGCGTCAGAAAACAACGGGACATCTGCCTCTCGTCTGAGTAAGTTCTGCTTATCTGGCGAAGTGGTGTACAAACGCGCGGTAATAGCACCTAAGCGTAAAACAAAACTCTGAGGAGGAGAAACCAATCCTGGGGAAGGGGGTCGAGACCTCTGGGGGTCGACGCTGTGACCAAAAATCACGACGTCGGGGCTGGGTGCGGCCCTCCATATGTTGCGCGACTCGGCGCCTCGGGGGCTGCAGGCGCGCGCACCGCGCAGACGCCCACGCCGGGCTTCTGGCACACGCTGGGCCCCCCGGTGCCGCAGGTGGGGTGCTGTCCCAGAGATCCGATGTCGTGATTTTCTCAATGCGGGGTCCCCGGAAGTCTCGACTCACTCCCCAGGACCGGTTTTTCATCCCGAGTCGTTTGTTGACGGTTCCGAGGCCCGGTAAGGGCCCCCCAGAGGCCGAAAGCTGCAGAAGACCTCCGTCGTGATTTTTTCAGTGCGTTCGATCTCTGGGGTCGTCGTTTTCCTGGCCCGCGCTCCGCCGCAGGCGCCAGGGCACCGCCGGCCCCCCTGGTGGGTGCCCGCTGCGCGGCGCCCAGGCGCCGGGCCCCCCCGGCGGGCGCCCCGGTCGGCGGCTGCGCGCGGCGCGCGTCGCGGGTGGCGGCAGGCAGTGCGGCGGGGTCCGTCGACGGCCCTCCCCGGCTGGGCCCATGGGCGCCGCGCAGGCCCCGATGTGCGCGGGGATCCGCACGGGGGGCGGCTGTGCACCACCCCGGCGGACGGGCGGTCGCCCGGCTCGGCCCGGCCGCCGCGCGCGAGCCGGCAGGAGGGTCCAGATGCCCAGCCCCCCCCCCGTCCGCGTCCTGCAACATCACAGCGTCTCGTCTGTCTTGTGCTCGTTTTGTTGTCGTCGTCGTCGCCGTCGTTGTTGTTGATGATGCTGTTGTTGTTGATGTTGCTGCTGCTGCTGCTGCTGCTGTTGTTGTTGTTGTTGTTGTTGTTGTTGTGGTGGTGGTGGTTGTTGTTGTTGTTGTTGTTGTTGTTGTTGCTGTTGTTGTTGTTGCTGTTGTTGTTGTTGTGGTCGTGGTTGTGGTTGTGGTTCTTGTCGTCGTCGTCGTTGTCGTTGTCGTTAACGTTGCCGTTGTCGTTGTTGTTGTTTTTGTTTTCGTTGTTGTTGTTGTTGTTGTTGTTGTTGTTGTTGTTGTTGTTGTTGTTGTTGTTGTTGTTGTTGTTGTTATCGTCGTTGTCGTTGTGGTTGTTGTTGTGGTTGGTGTTGTTGTATTAATCGTAGTTGTAGTTGTAGTTGTAGTTGCTGTTGTAGTAGTTGTTGTTGAAGTGGAATCTTCATCATCTCTCAAGAGTAATTCTTGTTGATCCCCTCTTCCCGGTAACTACTGTATTCTTTCGACTGAAGTGCTTCTCCCAGGGCCCGCTCCCTCTTTCACAAGGAAAGTGAGGTGTCACCAAACTATGCCCCTGGCCCCGGGTTTACAACAACAGCGGCTTCCGCCGGACATTTACTCACAATTTATCCCAAGCCGCGCTCTCGCGCCGGAGGTCCTCACACTTTACGCAGGAATCGCGCTCTCGCGTGGGACTGCCTCGCAATTCATTCAGACGCCGCGCCCTCGACACTCAGGAATCACGCTTTTGCTGTGGATTCGTCGTGGGTTCGTCACGATTTATTCGGGAATCGCGTTATCGCTTGAGACTTCCTCGCGATTCATGCAGGACGCACGCTTCAGCAACACGCCTGCTCGATCTGGCCGCCTGGGCCCGCTTTCCTATCCGCCCATTAGGGTCTACCCGCCCGATCTGCCCCGCCCGATCTGCCCGTCTGGTTCTGCCACTTTTTTTGTGCTCCTAGCTCCCCTCCTGCTACGCTCTCTCGTGCTCCATCCTCCTCCTTCCCCTTTGTCCCTTCCTTCCATCCGTCCTCATTTCCCCTGTTTGAAGGGGCTGTACGAAATACACGTTGCAGGCCATATATCTATCTGTACATATATATATATACGTATATAAACATACATGTGTATGTGTGTATGTATGTATGTATGTATGTATGTATGTATGTATGTATGTATGTATGTATGCATGTATGCATGTATGCATGTATGCATGTATGCATGTATGCATGTATGCATGTATGCATATGCATGTATGCATGTATGCATGTATGCATGTATGCATGTATGCATGTCTGCATGTCTGCATGTCTGCATGTCTGCATGTCTGCATGCATGCATGCATGCATGTGTATGTATGTATGTCTGTCTGTCTGTCTGTATGTATGTATGTATGTATGTATGTATGCATGCATTATGCATGTTTGCATGTATGCATGTATGCATGTATGCATGCATGTATGAATGTATGCATGTATGCACGTATGCATGTATGTATGTATGTATGCATGTATGTATGTATGCATGTATGTATGCATGCATGCATGCATGCATGCATGTATGTATGTATGTATGCATGTATGTATGTATGTATGTATGTATGTATGTATGTATGTATGTATGTATGTATGTGTGTGTATGCATGCATGCATGCATACATGCATGCATGCATGCATATATATATATATATATGCATGTATGCATGAATGTATGCATGTATGTATGCATGTAATGCAATGTAATGTAATGTAATGTAATGCAATGCAATGCAACGCAATGTAATGTAATGTAATGTAATGTATGTATGTATGTATGTATGTATGTATGCATGCATGTATGTACGTACGTACGTACGTACGTACGCATGTACGTACGTATGTATGTATGTATGTATGTATGTATGTATGTATGTATGTATGTATGTTTATATATATATATATATATGCATATATATATGTATACATATATATATACATATATATATATATACATATATATACGTATATATACACACATATATATATATATATATATATATATATCCCTGGGGGGCAGGCCCAGGGCCCACAAACAGGTGTCCCGACCCCCCATGGGAGGGCGGGGCGGCCGGGGAGGTCCAAAATAGTCCAGGGGGCCTCCAGAGGCTCCCAGGACGGCCCAAGCGGGCCCCGAGTCGCCGAAAGACCGCTCCGGGACGCCCAAGGTAGGCCCAAGACGGCCCGAGATGCCCCCCAAGGCACTCCACGACGCTTCAAGACGCCTCTCCAGAGCGCTTCAAGAGGCCGAAATCGTCAATTTCAGTAACGTTTTGGAACGATTTTGGCCTTCCAGCCTTTTCGGCTGTCCGACGTTCCAGGACGGCTCAATAGGCCCCCAAGAGCGCCCCAAGACGGCCCAAGAGGGCCCCAAGACGGCCCCAGAGGCGCCCAAGACAGCCCAAGAGAGCCCCAAGACGGCCCCAAGATGCGCCAAGAGGGGTACCACGACTCCAAAATTCGACCCTCCCGTTTGAAGAGTGCCCAAGGAGGCCCCAAGAAGCCCCCCAGAGGCCCCAGGAGGCCCCCAAGAGGCACCCAGGAGGCTCAAACGAGGCCTCAAGAGGCCACAAAACAGTCACGAGGAGGTCCCAAAACGGCTACCGAGAAGCTGCGAAACTGCCTTCACGACGTCCCCGGCAGGCCAACCTCGTGCCCACCAGGGCATAGGTTACATTATGAAATTATTTTTTAGGTTTTTGAAGTTTTGACCGTCGTAGAATTCTTAACAAGATTGCGAGGCGCAGCGCGCGCGGAATTCGTATTGCATTCCCGCTCCTCACGACCACTAAACGTCGCGCCCACTAAATGGATTCACTAGGTACGAGCGAGTCTGCACTATTGGCATGGGGTCGTTGTGGAAGCATTGCCCCTGGGGGGTAAATCAGCGACGGCATTTGCCATCGTCGTTTGTGAACGCCAAATCGCGGCGCCGCTTCCGCGGCCGAGTCTTAGTTCGATCTTTCGCGGGGATTCAAAGGACGCGCGCGTCAAGGAAATCAGATGCGACTGCGCCTCCACCACGTCGCCTAGCTCCGTGAATTAGCGCGCGATCCTGATTCAAGGAAGCGGTTCGGCCCCTTGCGTTTTCTTCATTAGTATTTTCCCACATCCCAGCCACATACATACATTTATGTGTATGTATAAACAAGAATGGGATTTGTCTGGGACGTATCCAGGCATCGTTTCGTGTGTGGGAAAATCCTCCTTTCCCTCCCTCCTCCCCTCCTGCCTCTCGTGTCCCCGTCCCGTCACGCATAGGTTTCATCGCCCGTCTTCCTTTTCCGTGTCTTTGTTCCTGCCCGCATTCTTTCCATCCCTCCCCTCTGTTAAGAGCATGCGCGAGACATTTGGGCAAGACGACCGTTGCCTCATGAGGTGGAGGTCCTGCCAGACAGACAGAAGGGCCGAGGAAGGAAGTATGATTATGATATGGAGGGCAAGGAGGAGGAGGGGGCTTGGGGATAACGGGGGGGGGATGGGGGGTTTTGGTCAAAGGGTGTTTTGTTTCCCTGAGGCAGTGGGACTGACCCTGCCTTGCCCTAGAGGCCCTCCCGGGGATTGACCCGGGAGGTGGGATTCAAACCACCTTTTTTTCCAAAACGGGGAGGGGCAGTCGGGATAATGACATGTTCACACATGTTTCATGTATATGAATGCTGCTTTTGAAGCAGGAAGCGCTCGCAATTGTTTGAAAAAGTGTTTTTTTGTGAAGGCAGCAGATTGACGCGCATATGTTAGTTTTTCTTTTTGAGTTTAGGGTATCCTTTCCGTTTGGCGGGATCGGGGTTTTACACGGACGTCGCTTGCGAAAACGTATTCGCGCTCGCGACGCACGCGTGGCGCGCCGCCAGTACGCCGCTAGCACACCGCCAACCGACCAGGCACACAAGCACGCGGACACGCACGCAAGCGGGAACACATTTATGCGATTTGACACAGGGCTGGCGCGTTCTTGGTGTGCTGGTGGGGCGCGTTTTGCCGGCGAGCTTGGGAGACATAGATGTTCGCTCCTCAAAGTAAACATGTAATTCCCCCCTCCGTAGCGCCTTTGTGTTGCTTGGTGTGTCCGCGGTGTGCTTTGCGTGCCTGGTGTCATGTCGTGCCAGGTGTGCTAGTGCGCCTGGTGTGCTGAGTGCGCTGGCTGTTTGCTGGTGTGATGGGTGCTAACGAGCAGAAGAGCAAGTTTAAACATTCATCTTGCTTTGCGCGTGGTGTTAGGGCTGTTTGCTGGTGCGCTTGGTGCGCTGGGTTGCTGAGTGTGCTTGGGCGCCTTTGCGCTAAGGAGCAGACAAGCAAGTTTAAACATGCATCTTGCTTTTGCGCGTAGTCTCGGGGAGAAGGAATAGGAATGGGGAGCAACGGGATGAAGTCGAAGAGAGGGGGGGCGACAGGGAGCAGGAAAGGCGAGAGGGATGCGTGGAGGGAGTGGAAGCGGATTGGAGGGAATGGGGGAAACCAAAAGGGTAGATTGACATTCTCATTTTTCTGTTCGGCTCGTGGGTAGGGAGGGGAGGAGGAAGAGGACGTGGAGGAGGAGGGAGAGAGGAGCAGGGGCTGGTGCAAGGGGAGGGGCAGGACAAATAAGAGGGCAGAACAGCAGGGGCGAGGGATGGGAGGGCGGGGTGCGTGGAGGAAAGGTCGATGGGGCTGCAAGGAAACATGAGGATAGCAATACTGTAAGCTTGCATCCTGGATTTTATGCACGGTTGTAGGTCGAAGGAGCGTGGACTAAATGCGGGAGTAAAGGTTACGCCCACACCCCCATCTGAGGATTAGAGGGGGTCGACAGAGGAGGGTCTGGGAGTAAATTCGTAAATTACTCCCGCACCCCCTTTTGAGAAATAGTTTACCCGCGTCTTGAAGGTAGAGGGAGGGTGCGGGAGTAGAATTAACTCAGACCCCCCCGGCTGAGGAAAGCATTATCTGCAGGAAGGGGAGGGGCTGGATTAACACGGGAAGGATAGCACTATTGCACCATCTTGGAGGCCATCTTGAACTATTTGGACCCAGCTTCGGGCCGTTCTGGGCTATAGTGGACGTCATGACCGTTCGCTGCCCCTTCCTCCCTCGTCCAGGCCGTACGGAACGCAGTTTTTCAAATTACTCGAATTTACTGGAACACGGTATGGGACGAGGGGGGGAGAGGATGGAGGAGAGGGAGGATTGGGGATATTGCTGCTCATAACTGCTCCTACTCGAAATGCACAGCGCTGCGAAGGTTATCCCCGTGGTGGTCCTTCCTTTGGGCTCCCATGTGCTGTGTTGGAGGCTATCTTGCGATCGAGCACGCAGGACGTTTGAGTGGCCCCCGGAGCGCCCGCCAGAGGCACCCAAGATTCCAAAGTACTCCAAGAGGCTCCATTCGGACCCTGCGAGAGCTTCAGGTCGGGTTCGCATCGTTATCCAGGCTTCTCGTAGTAGGCTGTCGTCAACTTCCGAGCATAGGGTGGCATTGCATCGTTGCCGTTTGGGCTCAAACTATAGCCTTTCCTGAAGGCGCGAGGGGGTCGCAGTCTTTCGAGTGTCGGCGGCCCGCAGGTGACCATGACAGACGATGCCGAGGCCGAGGGTTTCGCATCCCTGGTCGAGAAGTATGCCCCCGTCTTCGTGGTCTTAGATTCTTCTGAGAAGGACGTTGTTGAAAAGCTTGTCGTTGTCGGCACCCGTTACATGCGCCAGAACGCTCAAGGCTTCTGCCGCTCAGCGGGTTCCAGGCCTCTTCTGATGATCTACGGCAGCGACCTTACGCCTATGTTGCACAAGCTCCGGACTTGCGTGTCTGTGGACGGCAAGAAAGAACATCGCGAGACAAACAAGCCAGTGGAATGGCTCTTGCACCGCGCATACTTCGTGTTCCGGGATGACCACCAGCGCTTGCAAGCGAGGACCATGTTCGAGGCCCCGGTGCAGATGGCCAGTAAGAAGATTTGGTATTTGTACGGTGCTGCAGAGCGGTTCTGCCCTGTGCCGCGTTGGTGGCACCCGGACGGGGTGAACTTGAGTTGGTATGTATTCGACCGTGGTGAGAAGGGTTCGCTCTCGAGGTGCATGCGGCGGCGGCATCTCCAAAATCTCGCGGGCATTCCCGATCCCGCTGCTCGTCATCGAGCCTCGTTGCTGGATTGGGTAATGGATTCGGCGTGTGCCGACCATGACGTGCAGAATGCTCTGTGTGTCAGCTGCTCATTTGGCATCGACGGCATGGACGCGATGTACAAGAACATATTCAAGGCCATCCGGTCCGCTAGGGACACACTCGACACGCTCATGGAAACCTTGCCGGAGTGGCTGCGGGACCTTCAGGTGTCCGCGGACCCCTACGACATGGACGCCGTCCGCGAGCTGTGGTTGGCCATGGGCGCCAAACCGCACATTGCCGAGGCCATGTCACAGATCGATCTTCGCTGGGAAAACGGTTCCCTCCGCTGCCATTCCCGAGTGTGCGAGATGCCGGACCCGCTGGGCCGCGTGGGTTCTCTTGTGCTGGCAGCTTACCGTTTGACGACGTTTACGACTTCGCGCTTCCTCAGCCTGGGGAGGTCGTGCAAGGGTTTGTGCATGGCCTTGATGTGCGGTCTGGACCAACACATGGCTTTCACGCGCGCCCAGCCAGGCGCGGGTGAGTGGTACTCTCATTGCTATGACCTGCTGGACCCTGTTGCGCGGCGTTTCGTCTGCAAGACGGCCCTCGCGTCGCATGCGACCGACCGCATGCACGCGCTGTTGCTGAAGGACGACCGCGTCGCGAAGAACCCGGCGAAGTTCGTCGACGCTGTCCACTCGGGTATCCAGTACTTGCACGCGTTGCCTCCATAGGTATTTCAAAGGCTTGCGATGCACGTCGAAGGCTTGGGCGCCGAGGCTTTGGAGAGCGATGTCTACCGAAGTTCTTATCATGCCGCAGCCTACGTGGACAGGAAAGTGTTTGCCGTTCTGCGGAAGCCTATTTTCGAGGTCTGCTGCGGCGACGTCGCCGAGAAGTGCGCCGCCCTCCAGCCCTCGGAGGTTGCCGTCCCGCCGGATCCCATCCTCGCGAAGGTTCAGGCTTTGCTGCGCCTCGGCTACCCCATGGCGTGCGTCGAGCAGGCCTTCGACCTGATGCGGGGGGCCCCGTGGAGCATTTTGCGGTGGGAGCAGATGCACGGCGCTGGAGCAAAACAGCACCATGTCCATAAAGGGTTCACGGCGTCCGCGCACTCGGCCAAGACAGCCGTCAATCTGATGCTGCCCATGGTCCGTGCGGCCACGCCCGCTCCGCGTCGCAGCATGGGCGATATCCGGCTGGAGTCGTTGAAGCGGAAGCAGCCGCAGAACGCTGGCGGAGCTGGCGCTTTTCTCCAGCACTCCGCCGCCGCTCGATCGGCTGGCGGAGCCCACGCCGGCGACTCGGCGAGGGGCAGCGAAGAGCGCAGTGGAGACCTACCACGTCGAGTTCCGGAATGCCCCGCTTGACATCCGCGACAGGTACCACGTGAAAGGAACGGCTGATAAGCGGCGCAAGGTCGCAGAGAATCGAGTGGCCATCGTAGCCATGGAGAACAAGATAAACGAGGCGAAGCTGAAGCAGCAGCAGGAGGCTGCGGAGGCGCCCCCGCTACGAGTAGCTTGCACGGGCTGGAGTAGCGATGGCGCGCGAGCCCTCGACGCGATGTACCAGGGCAGCGACTTCCCCAAGAGCGTCGTTCAGCGGGAGATCGCCAGGGACCTGAAGTGCCCGTGCCCTCCTTCGGAGCCAACGCGGCAGGCGATGGCCGACTGCGACGACGGTTCCTGGGAAGAGCTCCCTCCGGATTGCCCTGCTTGGGTCGCAGATGTATGCCGGAATCGGGAGGCTTTCAGCACGGTTGCTTTCGTCTTCGGCGACTCCATCGACTCGCCGACCTTCGTGCTTGGGCACGCCTCCCAGAAGCCGATGTGGGCTGCTTTCTACCGGTTGCAGCGGGCCGCGGCGGCGGGCGCGGCCGCGGGCTCCGCCGACGCCATGCCCGAGACGCCTCGGCAGCAGCATCGCAACAACTGGCGAGTGCATTTCAAGGAGTATCTCTTCGAGGACTCCGCCGCCTTTGCCGAGCCGCCGGCATTTGTCATTCCATTCGTGCGCTTCGAGGGCAAGGGCTTCGCCTGGGCCGACGTCGACCTGGTGGAGCACGGCGCCTTCTGCGAGCAGCTCCCGGAGCCCAGGAAGGAGAAGGGCAAGAAGAGGTCTAAGCGAGAGAAGGAGGACCTCGCGCTGGCCAGCAAGCACCCGTGGGTCCGTCGATTCGCAGGCAAGCCAGACGGAGCAAAGACAGGAGGTTCGAAGAAGGAACCCCACGCGGTGGACGTTGACCTGGACGAGGAGGAGCTCAAGGCGGTGTACGCGGCCGTTGCCGAGGCGAAGCTCGAGGTTGCAGCTGCTGGAGCCGACCCCGACGACGAGCCATCTTTCGTTTAGTTGCCCCGGGGTGGCAACTGGGCCAAGAAGCACAAGGGCAAGGCGGTCGATTCGTACCGAGGTCGCCCTGCTGCAGGTGTTCCACAGGAGTGGATGTGCAAGTTTTTCCCTGCTGGTTCACGGTCCAGCACCTTCGCCACCTCAACGTACGGCGCCGCACTTGCTGTAGGTCTGGCCCGGACTTGGGCGCAGCTCATGCAGGACTGGTACGACAGGTGGGTGGCGGCGGGCAGGTCGGACGACGTCGACTTCGGGCCGCCCGATGTCGACAGGTGCGCTCCCCCGAAAGTGCGCGCCGACATCCTTGCCCTGCCAGCGGACCACTCCGCGAGGTTGCGGTATGACTCATTCCAGTTGCTGCTGCCGCGTAGGCAGCCTTGATCGGGGCGCTCAGGCGCGCGCCTCCCGAAGCGGAGAGTCGGGGCGCCCTGGGCAAACATTATGGCCCAACATTATGACCCAACATTATGACCAAACATTATGACCCAACATTATGACCTTACATTATGACAAAACATTATGGCCCAACATTATGACCAAACATTATGACCAACATTATGACATACATTATGATCAACATTATGACTTTGTCCTTGTTTTGGTTTGTTGTGGTTCATAATGTTCGGGAGCGCCGTGAGTGCGCGCAGGGGGTGCGATCTGGCTTGCCTGCCCGCGTGGGGTTGGACGGTGCGAGCGGGTCTTCTGGCTGTGAAGAGGAGCCTCCATCCTCGTCGGCCTCCGACGCCGGGGTGGCATCCTCGTCGGCCTCCTCGTCGGCGTCCATCCTCGTCGTCGCAGTCGTCGCCGCTGCCGAAGCCGCCGTCGTCGCCGCCGCCGCCGCCGCCGTCGCCGCCGCCGTCGTCGTCGTCGCAGTCGTCGCCGCCGCCGCCGCCGCCGCCGCCGTCGTCGTCGTCGTCGCCGTCCTCCCTGCCCAGCCCCGTCGCCTGCCCGCGCCGCCGCCGCCGCAGCTGTCGCCGCCGTCGTCGTCGCCGCCGCCATTGGTACGATGGGCCGCGTAGTTTGCATCGCGTCCCGCAGCCGTTTTGGCTCAAAACTCCCGGATCTCCCAGCGGCGACCAACCTGGCCCCACGCCGCTACGCCCCCCAAATCTTTGCTTGTCGCCTCCGCCCAGGCCATGGCCGCGTCCAAGAGGCAGGCGCCAGCGGGCGGTCGCAGGAAGATGACTTTGGCGCAGGAGGAGGCCTCCAAGAGGCCAGAGGACATCGCGCGCGTTGTGAACCGCAACATCCCGCGCATGTTCGGCAACGCGATACCGCCCGCCGCAGTGGACGTCGTGCAGGTCAATGGGGTGACCATGCGCCGGAATATGATCCAAGAAAGGACTGCGCTGCTTGCTGCGGGCAAGGTCCGGGCGGATCCAGAGTATTTCGGTGACATCAAGCGGATGTGAACGGCTGCGCTGTCAGGCCAGACGCTCGCGGTGCCCGCGAACCCTAGCCAGGAGCTCCACGACGGCCTGGCGGAGGTCATCGCTGTTGCGCGAGCGCGGCAGCGTCGGGATCGCAAGAAGGAGCCCCTCATCCATTGGTTGCGCCAGCGGCGCACGAAGCTGAACCAGAAGTCCGTGGTGAAAATCGTGGACCTTCTCGTGGAGCTGCAGGCCGCTGGCTGCCCCAAGTTCGGGGGCCTCGTGGTGCAGGTCTTCTCCGCGTTCGAACGTTTGAAGATGTTGGAGGACTGCAAGAAGGAGCTCGGCGTCGCCGTGCCAGGGTTGGAGGAGGGCTTGAAATCGCTCTTCGCCGAGGAGTCGAGGAAGGACACAGAGTGCGACGTCTCCATCTTCTGGAATAAGTACAGGACGACGGCGCGCATGTTCCTGGATCCAGCCATGGTGGATTCGGTTTTGTCGGAGGTGGGTAGCTGGGAGAACGTGACTTCCCAACTCAGCGCCCTTTCGACTGGGTCCAAGCTCGGTGCCGAGTTGTTCCTCGACTTCTGCCCCGAGGTCGTGGCGGCGCACGTATGCGGCTACATGAAGGACCAGGCCGCCGTCTTTGCCGCCTCGGACAAGCCGGTGAACCCCGATACGCTGGGGGAGCTCTCGGATGGCATGCTGGCGGAGGCAAGCCGGCTCAAGATAGACAATATGGTCACCGTGGGGAAGGACTACGACATCCCGTTCATGGATTCTGTTGCCACGTTGAAGTGCCACGCCAGCGTTGACCTCGCTCGCCGCCACGTCCAGGCCATGGTGAAGACGCTGGCAGTCAAGCACGGCAAGTTGGACTTGATGTCCATTGAGCAGGAGATCCGCGGTCAGCAGGCCGTCGTCCAGACCACGCGGGAGTTCGCCGAATCCGTTCTGAAGCCGTTCAGAGACGTGCGGAAGGAGATGGACAGGGTGTCGAAAACAGCGGTCTTCAATGAGCCGGGCGACGTCCCGGACTTCATGGAGTCTAAGAGGGGGCTCTGGGAGAACACCGATGCGACGTTCGATCTCGAGGTGGCCTACATGAGGAAACTGGCTGGCACGGAGGGCGGCGCCTTCCTCGTGACGCAGGCCATCGATGAGCTTCCCGACGGCACGAAAGAGCTGAAGTTCGTGGACTGTCTGCTGAAGCTGCGGGCTCTGACTGGGACGAGGGCCTGGCAGTTCGCGAGCCCCACGTCGCAGGGCGTCGTCAACAGCCCGGTCGCCATGATCGCGAAGATGGAGCGCGGCGAGGGCCCCTGCGCTGCGGAGTTCCCGGCAAACGCCCCGATGGGGCAGGCGGGCCAGCGCGTGGCTAACTTCTGCGCTGCCAAGAAGTCAGAAGAGGTCGATGGCGTCGCAACGGAGACCCAGGTCTACGGCGTGGAGGCGCTCACGCTCCGCATCAACGAGGCCAAGAAGGCAGTGGGCGAGAAGACCTTGAAGGACCTCGGCCCTGTGACTGCATGCCAGGTTTACCGGTGGCTGCTGAGCTCGGAGATGGCCCAGGAGCTCGACGTGATTTCTCGGAAGGCTTACGAGCTTGTGACTCAGGGCGCCACGGCCGCGAGCCAGGGCGAGAAGAAAGCTGGCGTGGCGGTGGAACACATGGTGGCAGCGCATACTTCTGCGAAGGCGGCGAAGGCCTTGAAGAAGGCCGCTGCGAAGCCTGCGCCCGCCAAGCCAGCCAAGAAGAAGGCCAAGAAGTCATGAGATTATGGGGCGCCTTTTTCTGCGGCACTTTTGATTCGGGGTCGGTCGTCTTGTCGAGTGCAGAGACCTTGTGGTTCGCACTGTCTGGGGTTCAAGTCGCCGCGCTGCCGTCGGGTTTGACGGCGAACGAAGTTTTCCCGATGAGCGCTGAAAAGGAAACATGTATCTGCACAATCCATTAACATCATCACCGCCGTATCTGTCTCAGCCAATTTTTTCTTTCGGATTGGAGGGGGATAGTGCGTCGGCCGCGCCTCGAGGGAGCTTTCCAGGCATCCGTGGAGGGGTGATCTTGGGACGGCATCGGGCGGCACTGCGAGCCGCGGGCAGGGTTCTCGCGGAACTGGTCCGTCCCAGAACAGGCGCTCAGACGAGTTCTATCCCCAAGCCCACGTTGATTTATCATGGGCTCGGTCCGTCATGGAGTCTGAGCGCCGCAGAGTCGGTGCCTCACACAGTCGGTGCGCCACGGAGGTGCGTCACTGAATCAGCGGCAAATCGCCCCTCTTGGTGTCTTTTCTGTCGTCATTGACCTTCCGCTGGCCTGCCTCCCTCGCCCCCCCCCCCCCCCGCCTCCCCCCCCCGAGTTCCTCTCTTGGCCCCCCCACCTCCCTTCCCCGATCTCCAGGGTTTCGGGGATGGGCTGCAGCGGATGCCGAGCTGTCGCGTGGCTAACCGCCTGCGCGCTCAGAAGTTCCATGCTCCGCCAGGCGAGAGTCGGAGCGTGAATGCCTATGGTCCTCGAGGCGCTTTGCGAGGATGCCAGTCCATCCTCGCATTCTCCCCTCGGTCGGCGTTCAGCGGGGCTCTGCGAGCCGCGGGGGGGTCAGGCAAGGAGGGGGCGGGCGGTGTTGCGAGAGGGCCCCCGCCGGCGGATGCGCCAGTATCTCTCGGGCAGGGCGTGTCCTTTGCCTTCGAATGCGACGTTGCAGGGATTGGTATAGTTTGCCTTAGAGGCCGTCGCCATTCCGCCGACCCCTAAAAGGACCGGAGTTGCGATGACGCGTCTGGCCATGACGCATGGCGAGACTGGGCCATCTGGGAGCCGTCTTGGGGCACTCTTGGATGCCAGATGCACGCCTTTCTGTTGATGTAGAAACCACCTTGGGGCCGTCAGGGCGCCCTTCCAAGAACTCAAAGCTGTCTTAGAAGTTCAAGAGGCCGTTACGATCCGCCAGTAGAACGTGAGGGAACGATGTTGTGCCGTTTTGGAGTCGCGTCGGGGCCGTCTTGGAATCCACCGAAGGGCCCAGAGGCGCAAGAAAGATGTATCAAGGGGGCCCAGAGTGCGCGCGAGCTCGAGCCCACACAGCTCGCACAAAGCTCTCCTCCGATGAGCACTTATTTGGCCAGCTCTTACATCTAAGTCCCCCTCGTTCGGGCTGGCTGGCGACGACTCGTGAGGCGGGGGGCCTTTGCGCGGACGCCGCGCGTGACTGCGAGGAGGCGGGCGGTACATATGTTGTTGCATGTTTTTTGCCACTGTCGATCGGGATGATTAGGTTGGGGCGCGAGGGCGTTCCGAGGGCGGCTGCCTTTCTGAGTGATGGCCCCCGCAGAAAATAATCACAGGTCGCCCCCACTCCGCGGCCATGCTGATATGGTGAGCTTGCGGCGAGATTCTGGGCAGCTGGTTCCTTTTTGAACATTTGCTGCGGGGCCGAGGGGGCCAGGATTGGCCCCCCCCGTCTGCCCTGCATGTCGTTTCCTTAAGCATTGGCGGAAAACACATCATTGGAGTGAGCGTCTGGGCTGGCGTAGATCAACGCGGCGGTTGTGCCGCGCATGTTCGCCAGGCGCACCTTCCTTATTTTGGCCGCAGGCGTAAAGAATCTCTGACGAGTCTGGTTCCCACGGGCACCGTTCCCCCCCCTATGTCTGGGGCGCGTCAGGAGAGCACGCCAGTGAATTTGCCAGAGGAGGCCTAAGGATGGAAGAGGAGGAAGGGAGAAACATATGGTTGACGACGAAACGTGCAGCGAGGAGGAGCAGGGATGAGAAACAAGTGGAGGAGGACGATGCATCGGAGCAAAGGCAACAATAGTTCCAAGAAGGACCCGAGAGCCATCAGAGGTTCCCACAGGGGGCCGAGCGGAGCCATTGCAAAATCACGCGCGAGGGCTCGCGTGTGACATCATTCTGACACCTCCAGGGCCTCTCTGGGAGCCCTCATGAGCCCCCATTGGGACCCAGACGGCGCCTGCCAGAGCCCTCCGATGCAATTCCAGCGGGCCCCACGAAGGCTCCAAGATGGGGCCCGCGTGGAGTAAGACGTAAATTGCCAAAGAACCATATCGCGTGACTTCGCTATGACTCCTCCTGGGGCCCTCTGGGAACCCGCTGGGGCTCCCCAGAGGCATGCCTGGGCCCTATGCTGAAGTCTTGGAGTGCCCGACGACAGTTCCGAGGGGAACCTCCAAGGATTCAATGCGAAGTCACGCGAGAGGGCACTCGCGAGACTTCGTATTGATTCCTTAGGGGCCCCTCTCGGGGCGTTATCTGGGCTTTCTTGGGGCTTGTGCGGGGCTCCCTGGGTATGAGAAACTGCCTGGGAGGGCCCCGAGACGGCTTTTCGAATGGCTTAGGAGGAGTCAGAGGGAAGTCTCGCGAGGGCTTTCTCCCTCTCGCGTGACTTTGCTTTAACTCTTCTCCGGCCTTGTTGGGAGCTCTCGCAAAGCCCTCCTGGGGCGCATCGGGGCCCTTAGGGCCATCCCAATGTTGTTCTGGAAAGCCTTGGGAGGGCTCCAAGATCAGGCTAGGGAGTGACAGAACGAAGTCACGCGAATCCATTCTCGCGTGATTTCGTTATGGTTCTTCTCGGGCCCCGCTTTGAGCGCTTTTGGCATCCCAGGAAGGCTTTTGAGGTGCCCTCCTTCGGCCCCGAGAGGGCTTCAATGGGGCCTCCAATAGGGCGGGCGCTTTTTGCGCCGTGAGGCCCTCTTGGGGTTCCTGGCGGCAGGAGATTTCAAATGGTCAAAATCTTGGTCTTGACGGCGCGAGCCTCCACCGTCTTCGGGCTTCAGAGGCCCAAAGCATTCCCCACGGGCCAGCGGAATAATCATGATATCCAGCGGTGCATCAAGCGAGGGCCTCTTGCACGAGTTGGGGGCCTAGGTCAACCCGCCTTGGGTCCACTTTACGCGACCGCGGAACGGTTGCAACTTGGGGGCCGGGCACTGCGCGCAGAAACAACAATGCATCCGGGCGTGGTCAATCCGAGTGCAGGGCGGAAAAGGAGGGGGCAAATATGAAGGAACTGGAAATTCAGCAGATATGCGACCGCAGAGAGCAACGGTGCATTCACCCATGCGCGGGGAACTCAGCCTATCATTCTAAGATATCCAGAATCATTGGGATTATTCCTTTGAAGATATCAGATATCAGTGCGCGCGCGCGCCTTCGACGCAGTCCACGAGCGACCGACGCCGCTAACGCTCCTCATGGACCACCGACGCCAATGGCACGTCGCATCGGCATCGGGCAACACTGACGCATGTCAACAGTTGCCCACGCACACCGACGCATTGCAGAGAAACGTGCATGACCAGGCCGTTCCTCCAAGCCAGCAGCAGCGCCGCACCTCACCACTGACGGGCAGGAGTAGGGCATCCTGCCAACAACCAGCGCTCCCGACATGAATCTGCAGTGGTCGAGTTGGTTGGGCGGCCCGTCCTTGGTGGGCGCGGGCCACGAGAAATTCAGGCAAAAAAGCATTGCGGGCAGCTGGTGCCAAAAAGATAAACAATATGAGTGAAAGGAGGACCTATGGATGCGCAGGCACGGCCAACCACGAGATCCAAACCAACACCCATGAGGCCTCTGACCCAGCGCCCAGGGCACGGTGGCAGGAGCAGGGACAGCACTTGTGCACAGCACGTTCCGGCGGGAGCCTTCCGGAACACGCTGCAGGAGGAGGGAGATCAGGAGGAGAGAGAGCTGGAGTGGGAGGAGGAGGAGAGGGGCGAGGAGGAGGATGAGAAGGAGGAGGAGCAGGAGGAGACGGACGAGAACGACGACGATGAGGACGACGACGATGCAGGATGATGATGCTGCCGACGACGACAAATGTGACGACGTCAACGATCACCGCGACTGTTTTTGTGTTGATGATGGTGGTGCTTTTGTGGGTGATGGTGATGGTGAATGCGATGATGCGGGAACAGGATCGCGGGCCTATCTTGGGCCTCTCCTGCGCCCCTCTTGTAGCCCTCTTGGGCCTCTCTTGAAGGCTCTGCCGCTTCGTCGTCATCGTCGTCGCATTCGTCATCGCCGCTGTCGCCGCCATCGTCGTCGTGGTCGTCTCCGTCGTCGTGGTCGATGTGCCACTCTCGTCGACCTCTACGTCTTCGTCGTCGCCTTCGTCGCCACATTTCGATCCTCCCTCCCGCCCCGCCGGACAGCTTGCCTGTCTCCTCTGGTTGCCGTCTAGGGCCTCCAGACTGCCCGAGACCCGCCGTGCTCGGTCCGCCTCGGACACAGTGGCTGCCGCCGTTGATGAGGCTCGCGTGCGCCTGGCCGCTTCGCACCTGCTTGAACGCCCGCCGCTATTGCCGCGCTGGCAAAGCCTCAGACTTGACGACGGGCTGGGGTGCCGGGTATTTCAGGTCGGTCTGGGGCGCGCGCAGCTGACGCGGACCTCGAGGTCACGCGGGCGCGTTTCCACCGCCGGCGCTTGCAGAATTACTGGCGCGACTTGGACCTTATTGCGGTGAAGATGCGGGAGCTCGTGCTCGAGGGCTCCAAGGCCTTCTTCAAAGAAGAGGACGTCGCTCCAGCAGGCGCGCGGGCAGCGGAAGCACAAACTTCCGCGGTGTGGCGCCTGCGAGGGAACTCGGAAGCGTGGGCGCGCCGCGTCGGGTACGTCAAGACGCCGGGGCCCGACGGTCGCGCCCGCGCCCGCGGCCTCCTTGCGACGGAGTTTTGCAGGATGTCTTCGGAGATGGTGTCAAGCCAGCGAAGGTGTTGAGGGACTTCTGCGCCGGCCAAAACGCCGCAGAATATGGGATCAGATCGCGGGGCAGGTTGGCGCTCTGTGGGGCCGCGTGTTGCCGACGATGGCCCATTTGGCGTCGATCCTGCCGACCGTCCCCGTTGCGGAGCTCTGCCAAATGTGCGCGGGGATCCCATATTGGGGAGAAGGGGCGTCTCT